AGGGATGAGCCTGTGGCGCACTCAGGAGAGTGCGGCAGTGGGAGTGCGGGAGCGCTGCGCTCCCGCCACGAGTTCGAATCCTATATAGGGATGGCCGGTGCTGCTCACTGGCTGAGCGAGGTGCGGGAGCAACACCAAGGGTTGTGATCCCGTTGCCGGTCCCGGTCCGGTACAGGCGCAACACTGAGGGTTGCGATCCTTTGCCAGTCACGAAAAAAAACAAAAAGGAAAAAGAAAAAAAAAAATTCTATATGACTAAATCACCTGTGTTTACTAAAGAGATGACACTTAATTTGAGGACTTCTAGCAAATATCTGCCAAAATATTCAACACCAAATAACAAGAGTCGTACCACCAATAATGAGGCTTGAGAGATTTCCTAATTTAGTTCCAAAGCTATTCTGACAACACCCCAATTCCTTTAGTTATGAGAAAATGGTGGCTAATAGCAAAAGAGCATAATAATTTTTGCTCTAAATGTGGAAAACATTCCGTAAATACCTATTTAATGAATGAACAGTAACCTAAGGTGGGGCAGCAGTAGATGTGATCAACAAAGGAGTATCTGTGAAGAGGCACAACTATGAAACCACAATTTTCTACCACTATTTCCTAAAAAGCATGAGGAACAGGTAGAACACACTCTATGGATTCTCGTTAGAAAATAAATTATATTTGAAGATGATGTGTCTATTGAGTTAAGAAGTTAAGATCTTAACTGAAGACTTCAAGGTGAAACATACAAGAAAGAAGTCCCAAAGTAAACTTGAATTCACTTTATATAAGTTATGTATCCCAGTTAGAGACCAAGAACTCAATGTCCTGGCAGGGAAGAATAATTAACAAATTAATTAATCAGGGTGGTATTTATAATTATATGTCAAAGCCCATCATTGGCAAAACAAAATTGGTAAAACTCCATTCAAGTTTAGTGTTCAAGAGTATGTGATATGTTTGATATTTCACTTCTACTGCATAGAGTATAATACTCAGATATAGCTAGACTCTCTTATGACTTCAGCCCACACTTTCTTAGAGTTACAACTCTAATCGATGGATAGGCTCTTATGTTGAACAAGCAAAAATTATTACTCATAAGTAAGAGTCATTTTCACAAAGTTCTAAGATCCTTTTTACTTTCCATGAACATAAGCATCCATGACACTTCCCTCCCAACACATTCATATTCATTCATTCATTCTTTCTCTCACATACACATTCACATCCATGCACACACAGCAGGCATACACCACCAATTCAGCAGTCATTTCCAAGCAGCTACATGTTACTTTTCCTTGCATGCTCCATTGTGTCCATTATGCTATTATTTCAGTAGAACCTTTAAAAAGATTACCACAACAGATAAGGCACTGGTATGATGGCTTAATTTTGGTAGAAAAGTCAGTCCTGAACGAACTTGGTAATCCCGGAATCCTCCAGCTACAGAAAGTGTGGTTAAATTTATGTGTTGAGCATTTAGAATCCAATAGTTGTTTACAGTCATATAAAAATCTGGAAGGAAATAAAAAAAGAGAGACATTAAAAACTAGTAGTCAGTCATTCCCTGCAACAATAAGACTGCTATACAGTAATACTAATATTTAACTGAATTTCTACTTAAGCCATCTGGTCTATAAACAACGTGTTATTCACATTTCCCCATTTTGAGTAAAATCAGTATCTTTATACATACACTACTTCCCCATTAAATCAGAGTACAAATACTAAGAGTTATTAAAAACATCAATAAAGAAAAAGATACCCAAATTTTATTAGCTTTGATATGTCCGTATGCAAACATGTCTCTATATTCCATAAAGATGATGCCTGTTCATGAGCCACAAAGTACAGCATAGAGAAAAACCTAAAATTCTCCCTCAAATAAGAATTTATCATGTTAAAGAGTCATAGAGGGCCGGCCCGGTGGCGCACTGCTACGGTGCGCCGCTTGGGAGTGCGGCGGTGTTCCCGCTCACTGGCTGAGCGAGGTGCAGGCGCAGCACCAAGGGTTGCGATCCCGTTGCCGGTCCCGGTCTGGTACGGGTGCGACACTGAGGGTTGCGATCCGTTGTCGGACACGAAAAAAAAAGACAAAAAGGAAAAAATAAAAAAAAGAGTCATAGACATTAGTGCTGTTCATTTCATGGTGTACACATATGTTCCAACCCATCAAATTGTATACATTAAATATATGCAGTTTTTTGTATACCAATTACCCTCATAAAGTGGTTTAGCATCCAGATTGAAAACGACCAAGTTAAACTGTCCCTGTTTGCAGATGATATGATCCTATATATAGAAAAACCTAAAGACTCTACAAAAAGACTCTTAGAGTTGATACGCAATTTCAGTAAAATTGCAGGATACAAAATCAACACACAAAAATCAGTAGCATTTTTATACTCCAACAATGAACTAGCAGAAAAAGAAATGAAGAAAGCTAGCCCATTTACAATAGTCACCAAAAAATGAAATACCTAGGAATAAATTTAACCAAAGAGGTAAAAGATTTCTAAAGGAGAACTACAAATCACTGTTGAAGGAAATTAAGGAAGACACAAAAAGATGGAAAGACATTCCATGCTCTTGGATTGGAAGAATTAACACGAAAAATGTCCATAGTTCCCAAAGTGATCTACAGATTCAATGCAATTCCCATCAAATATCAATGATATTCTTCACAGAAATAGAAAAAAAAAGTCCTAACATTCATGTGGAACAACAAAAGATCCCAAATAGCCAAAGCAATTCTGAGGGGGGAAAAAAAAGCCAGAGGAATAACACTACTTGACTTCAAATTATACTACAAAGCTATAGCAACCAAAACAGCATGGGACTGGCATAAAAAGAAAGTCAGAGCAGTGGAACAGAATAGAGAACCCAGAAATCAACCCATATACTTATAGCCAACTGATCTTCAACAAAAGCACCAAGAACATACTTTGGGGAAAAGACTGCCTCTTCAATAAATTGTGCTGGGAAAACTAGACATCCATACATAGAAGAATGAAACTAGACCTGTACCTCTCACTATATACCAAAATCAACTCAAAATGGATTAAAGACTTAAATATACATCCTGAAACCACAAAACCCCTAAAAGAAAACATAGGGGAAACACTTTGGGAAGTAGGAGTAGGCAAAGACTTTATGAACATGACCCCAAAAGCACAAGTGACAAAAGAAAAAAATAAACAAATGGGATTATATCAGACTAAAAAGCTTCTGCACAGCAAAAGAAATAATTAACAGAGTGAAAAGAAAACCTACAGAGTGGCAGAAAATATTTGCAAACCATGCAACCGACAAAGGATTAATACCCAGAATACACAAGGAACTCAAACAACAGTAAAAAAGCCCACAGATAACCAGATGAAAAAATGGGCAAAGGAGCTGAACAGGCATTTCTCAAAGAAAGATATACAAATGACTGAGGCATAAAAAAGTATTCAACATCATGCAGCATCAGGGAAATGAAAATCAAAACCACACTGAGATATCATCTCACCCTAGTCAGAATGCCTTCTATGAAAAAAACAGAGAATAACAAATGCTGGTGAGGATGCAGAGAAAGGGGAACCCTCCTACACTGTTGGTGGGACTGTAAATTGGTGCAGCCATTATGGAGAATGGTATAGAGGTTCCTCAGACAACTACAGATAGAACTGCAGTATGATCCAGCAGTTTGACTGCTGGGTATATACCCAAAGGAATGGAAATCATCATGCCGAAGGGATACCTGCACTCCCATGTTTAATGCAGCTCTATTTACAATAGCCAAGAGTTGGAACCAACCTAAATGCCCATCATCAGACAACCAGATAAGGAAAATGTGGTATATTTACCACATGGAATACTACTCTGCCATAAAAAAAAAGAATGAAATCCTGCCATTTGCAGCAATGTGGGTGAACTTCAAGAAAATTATGTTAAGTGAAATAAGCCAGGCACAGAAAAATACCACATGTCCTCACTCACAGGTGGGAGCTAAAAACGATAAACAAATAAATAAAAAAAAAGAAAGAATGAAAGATACAACGATCACAATAGTACAATGAACTTTCAAAAGGAGAGAACAAGTGGGAAAGGGTGGGGGGGAGAGGGGTAAGCAAGGAATTGGTAAAGGGCCACAAAAGAAATTACATTGTATAATGTTGAATATACTAATTACCCTGATTTGCACATCATATATTGCACACAGGTATTCATATTCAACTCTGTATCCCACAGATATGTACAATCAACTATGTTTCAAAAAAAATAAATAAAATAAAATAAATGGTAAAAATAAATGAATAAACTGGTTTAAAAAAAGAGCATTAGATCCTTCCCTATCACGGAAGTGTCCCTGCTTAGCAATTTTCTGCCCAACAACCACCACACAAAGCACTATTTAAGTTCTTACAATACAATCTATCAGGACAATACCACTGACATTAGTCTTAGGACTATGCTGCTGTGAAAAATCCAGGGTTAGGGTTGTACCCATTTAGTGTAATAAGCAGTTCAAAGGGAAGAAACTGCAGACAACTTTTCATTTTGTCTATGGAAGGTGAGAAAATTTGTGTCAGAGATTATTAAATTGAGGCCAGGGCAGGGGAGTTCAACTTCTTTTTCTGATTATCAAAACTTAATGTATTTTGGGCTGGCCTGGTGGCACACTAGGTAGAGTGTGGCGCTTGGGAGGCGGTGGCGCTCCCGCCGAGGGTTCGGATCCCATGTAGAGACTGGTCCGCTCACTGGTTGAGTGCGGTTCGGGCGTGACACCGAGGGTTGCGATCCCGTTGCCGGTCGCGGTACGAAAAAAAAAAAAAAAAAAAAAACTTAATGCATTTTTATCTTCGCATTTGATCCCACTCAGGGCTTTAAACATTTGGTAGAGCAAGTCCCGCCTTTGAAAATCTCAGCAGTATTTACTTAGCTCGCCAACCCAATCCTAACATCTGGAGGGCCTGAGATAAGAGTACCAAGGGGATACATATGCCTTATGTCTAAATCTTTAAAAGTCAAAAATCCAGTTAACAAACTATTAAATCAAATATATTTTCTTTTTTTTTTTTTTTTTCCTTTTTGTCTTTTTTCGTGTCCGGCAACGGATCGCAACCCTCAGTGTCACGCCCGGACCGGGACCGGCAACGGGATTGCAACCCTCGGTGCTGCGCCTGCACCTCGCTCAGCCAGTGAGTGGCCGATCTGTATGTGGGATCCGAACCCTTGGCGGGAGCGCTGTCGCGCTCCCAAGCGGCGCACTGTAGCAGTGCGCCACCAGGCCAGCCCTCAAATATATTTTCTGACATTGACAAATATATCATTGAAATAACCTGGAAGGCCAGATTCAAATTAAAAATTCTCAGACACCTCAGAGTTGGATACTGGATTATGGCAACACAGGGAAAGCAGATCACTGGCCCACTGCTGTGCTGTCCTCCTTTTCTTCCCATCCCAATTCCATCCTGCATCACGAGGACCTCATGTACACAACCAAGCTCTGTCTATATTGCCTGCCGAGCTACCCCTTGGCCACAACTCAAATTTAGGATTATACATACCTGCCCTCAGGAGAACAAAGCCAGATAAGAGGCCCACACAGGCCCTGGAACTGAGCAAAAAAAAGTCAAATGGTTAAGTGTATGAGACCTGGTTAAGTGTATGATGATCTAGAAGTAAAGGTGTGGGCTTCAAGCAGGGAGACTGCTTAGCCTGCGCATTTTTCACCCTGTGGGAAAGGGCAGGGCTAGAGCAGGTCCATCTAGAATACACAGCCCAGTGCACGGCCTCCCTCCCCTTATTCAAGGGAAATATATCACCAAGTACTCAGGGAATGTTCTTCTGGAGGTCATATGGATCTCTGTCTCTCAAAACTTAAAATTCATGGCCCCTTGAACTAGTTCTTTTGCTTTTTCATTCTAATTCTGACAATGCAATAAAAAATAAATACAGAATGAAAAGAAGGAGGCTTACTCATTATAGGAAGGACATCCTGACCCTAAGAATCACTTTCAGCTTGAGACTTTTAGAGATAGACCAACACCATCCTTCAAAACAATAAAGCCTAACTCTATTGAAAGTACATTACTCAAAAAAATTTTTTTAATGTATTTTGAGTCAGTATAATTTAACTTACATGGTTCATCTACATATACCATACAAAATGCAGTGATAGAAAGAGTTCTCAATTGTGGTGACAAGTACCATAACTTTTGGCCTTTGATTTTTTTTTTTTTTTTTTCCTAAACCGATGGTCATTGGCTTCTGGTCAAGATGGCAGAATAGACAGTCCCTAGTGTCACTCTCTTCCACAAATCAACCAATTTACAAGTATTAAAAAGCAACTACAGCCAAGCTGGAGCTGCTAGATCTCAGGGGAAGAGGAGGAGAAACCTACAGAGTGCATGAAAGCAGAAGCCATGATGAGAGAAAGAAAGAATTGCTCCCACCATTTCGAGCCCTGGCAGCTTCAAGGTTCCACAGAGCAAGAGCTGGCAAATGCTGCATCTGTGCTCTTTGTATGAAGTTGCTTGGAGGCTGCAGGTGAGAAGAGGGCCTTGGTGGCATCCAGGCCAGCAAGACCACTAACAGGGTTCCCGTGAACCCACATAGGAGCAAGGAGCCACGGACAACTAAAGAAAGGAGCCACTCAGAGGTGGTGAGTCATCAGAAGGTACTGGCGCACAGCCCATCCCATGGGAAGTGCTTGGAGTGTGGGTGGTGGGGGAGACAGGCCACCAGGGGAACACTGGGGCACAGCATGGACAGCTGATCTGCCTCCCAATCAGCACAGGACCACTCAGTGGAGACTGGTCAGGAATACAGAACTGCAGAGGGTGCAGTTTGCTGAAAAGACTCAGGCCCAGACCAGAGTTTCCACACAACCCAGGTATACTGGACCTTACCAGACCTGGAAGTACATACAAAGTTAACAATTAAAACCTGAGCTGCACAAAAAGCCTCCCCCAGAGAATCAGCAGCAAAGCAGCAATTTAGCTCAACTACAGGACTCAAATGCTGGTCCCCACAGGAAGTTCCTCCCATTTTAGCAGTAAGCAAAGGACAACATATTAGTTCCAGTGCAGAGTTTAAGTGGTGGGAACAGCAAATAATCCAACACAGAACTGAAAGAAAAAACAAATTTCCCATAGACCAGAGACGAAGTCTGTTATTAACTAGTAAAGGTCTAACACCACCAAAAACATCAATAAAACTGAGAAGGACCAGAAGCTCCTGGGCTCCCAAGCCAGAGAAGGGGGAGGGCTGTGGGCCTTAGCCATGCCCCCACAATGACCACACCCAGCCCAGCAACAACCACTGAGCCACCACAGGAAATGCCCCAGGCTCCCAAACCAGGGCAATGGGGGGCAGTGGGCTTCAGCCACACCCCACCAACAACCACAACCAGCCCAGCAACAACCACTGAGCCACCACAGGAAGCACCCTGGGCTCCCGAGCCAGGGTGGCAGGTGGCCAAGGGCCTTGGCCATGCTCCCCCAACATCTGCAACCAGTCCAGCAATGACCAACCAGCCGCTGCCAGAATCGCCCTGGTCTCCCCTGCTGGAATGAGGGGCATGCCATGGGCCTCGACCAAGCCCTCCCTCTTTCCTACTCCTCCCATCCTATTTCCTTCCCCCTTCCCATCTCCCCCTCCTCCCCAACTTCTCTGCAACATGTTAGAATGTAAAAAAGTAATAATATTAATAAATAAAATCTTTTAAAAACCCTATGGTCATTTATGATTATTAGTAGCACAAGAGATTTAAACAACTTCAATAATAAAATTATTAAAAGATTTCTACAGGTAAAGTTTTAAATGTTATAACAGAAAAATCAAACTTCGCAATAAATACTATTGCACCAGATACTTCCAGCAAATAAATTATTCCTTGGCAATGTTGTTATGTTAAGATAGGCACTTTAGAAAACTACTTTGGTTTGGAGTCACTGGGAGATATTTTTCACTTAAGTACAAACAAAATTTTCATCAAAATTAAGATAATGTGAATATCGATAGGAAGGAGTTGTGTAAATTCAGTGACCAGGAAAAAAAAAATTATTTCTAAAGATTTTCTTCTCCTCATACAATATTCCTATAAGCAGCAAAGATAATACTTAACTTTCTTTAACAAAAAGTTGAAATAGTATGCATTTAATTCTTATCCTGTAACATTATCATATTTTATTAAATGACATCAATCATGAACTGCAAGATTATAGTATTATCTGCTCCTTTTTTACAGACATTATAGTAATGTACCTCAACTAATAGGCAGTATAGCATGCAAAGGTTAAGAGTACAGGCTCAGAAGCAAGTTTGCCAGGGTCAAATATTGGCTTCACTACTTTGGGTAGGAGCTTACCTTGGCCTCTTTCTACTATCTATCACCATGGGGATAATAATGGTTCCTATCTCAAAGGACTGCAATGAGGATTAAGTATGGTAATACATCATGTGAAGTCCTTCATACAATACCCTTAATATAATAAGAGCTCAATAAGTATGAGCTATTCTACCTCACTATTTATTTAAAACTAGACATTTCTACTATTTTACTTAAATATAAGCTTATTTGGGGTACAGTACTGAACCAGTTATCAAAGCACAGAAAGTTTAAACACATCTTAAGAGACAGGAATCCTCGTCAAGAATACCTAAAACTAAAGCCCTAATGCCTAAATATTATAAAATACATGTCAACAATGTTAAGATGCTATAGACAGAGAAAACTAAAAGTAGTTTCAATTATGAGCCTAAGATGAAAGACATAAACAGAGATGCTCATAATTGGTAGTGCTGATTGCAATCGAGCTATTTTACACATGGATAAATCTGTAACATAGTCTAAAGGGAATAACAGCTGCAGGGATTTATTTATTTAATCCCGAACAACAATGGGGAGGTCAGTTAGTGTTTATGTAACAGTACTCACCTGTAATGAAACGATCTAATGGCATCACAGGAGCAACATGAGGTGTGGCTTGCGTAATAAGAAGATTTATCAGATCTTGTTTAAAATTTTTCAGTGTAAGCAATGCTCTTGCAACAAGGCCACCCATAGAATGACCAATTATTGCCACACTTTTGGGAGCAAATTCTTGACCCTATTAAAAAAAACACCATGGCACAACTAAGTCTTAGCATTATAATAAAAATGCTAAATATTTCTCTCTGCATATGAGCAATTTTAAAGACAAAAAGAAAATTAAACTCTTTATATAACCTCCCATCATAAGGTACAGGAATACACTTTCATATAATTTTAATGAATGTATACATACTATTTTATGCTCTATTAAACATTTCTAACAGCTATATCTTGGTTTTCTGAACCAAAATCAGAATACTCGGTCTAGCAAATCATATTTGTACCATTTGTTACATTGCATGTAATGTGAAGTGTAATCACATTTGCTGTATAGGAGAATATTAGATTTTACAAACTATAAGAAATCAGATGATTTGTTTGGAACTGAAAATACCACAAAAAAAGCTAAGACAATTATAGCTGCCATAGCAATATGCTATCTCATCATATAGGTATTGCTTGTCTCATCAGATTATTTATCTACATTGCATTTGGGTTTAAAAATAAACCAGTAGTTCAAACATTATTCTCTGACAATTATATATTTTATTTTTTTTAAATAAGCATTGCTTTTTAAAAAATCTTTTCTGTCTTCACCACTAACCTTAGTCCCACTACCAAACTTTTGCTCATTACCCTCCACATCAGTCCTTCATATGTGCCTTCTCTCTTGTTATTATGAATAAATTGGAACTTGTCCAGAAAAGAGTTAACACAGTAGACCTCAGACTACTATCCTTTGAATGAACTGCATGCAACATTGGCTCCTGGCTCAAGTCTGGGAATTCATATTTTGGGGGGTTCCCACCATTTCCTAAATGATAAAAAGACTCACTGTGCCTAAACTGTTTGTGCAAGCAATAAAGTTTACGATAAACACCTGCTGTCCTTCAGGCTGCAAGTTTAGTATGTGCTAGGAAGAGGGTGTCTACATGATAAGCCACTGATAAAAACCGTGGGGACAGATTCTCTAATGAGCTTCCCTCGCAGACAATATCTTACACATGTCACGATTTGTTGGTGTAGGAATTAAGTGCACCCTATGTGACCCCCCTGTGAGAGGACTTTTTGAAGCATGCACCTGGTTTCCTCCAGATTTTGCCCCATGCACCTTTTTCCTTTGCTGATTTTGCTTTGTAGCCTTTCACTGTAAGAAATCATAACGAGGAGTACAATGATATGCTGAATCCTGTGAATCCTCACGGTGAATCATCAAACCTGGGCTGGTCATGGGGATACTGACACAGACCTGATCTTAGCAAAAGCCAATATCTACATCTGTGCTCCGAAACCTATATCCTTTGGCCTTCTCAAGTACATCACACCAGCAATTCTTCCCATTTTCTTCATGCATCATTGTTTTCTCCTCTCTACTAGACCATCCTCATTACTGTATAAATACACTGTTATTCTCCCCTTAAAAAATAAAAACACTCCTCTCACTTTCCCCTTAGTGATTACACTTTTCTCTACAACTCTTCATAGAAAAACTCTTCAAAAACAGTTGTATATACATTATCTGCTGTCTCTAATTTCTCAACTTCCATACACCCTTAAATCCATTCCAGTCAGGTTTTCATTCCAACACGCCACCAAAACTCCTCCTGCCAAGTCACCAAGGTATCTAATGGTCAATTCTTAATCCTCACACTTTATTTGACCTATCAAAAGCATCTGACATAGTTGATCACTTCTCTTTAAAATACTTTACTTGGTTTCCTTGACAACCTACTCTCTCAGTTCTCCTCTTACCTCATTGGCTGCTCCTTTTTAGTCTCTGTTGCTGGTTCCTTCTCATCTTCCCTCATCTCTTAAAACTGGAGTAATCCAGTCCTCAGTTCTTAGATCTCTTCCCTTTTATACCTATGTTGACACCATCGGTGATCTCATACAGTCTTGTGGCTTTAAATAAATCTACATATTGTCAACCCCAAACAATTATCTCCAGACTGGACCTCTTCTCTTGAACTCTAGCTTTGAACTCCAATTGCATACTAGCTATACTTGGGATGTCTAATGTGCATCTCAAACTGAACCTGTCTAAAACTAAACTCTTATCTCCTCCAAATCTGCTCCTCCCACATTCTTCCCCACCACAGTTAATGACAATTCAATCTTTCCAGGTGTTCAGCCAAAAAACTGGGGGTCATCCTTAACTCTTCTTTTCCTCTCTTATTGCCCCTCCACACCTATCTACCAGCAAATCTCATCGCCTCAACCATTAATTTACACGAATCTGACCATTTCTCATCACTTCAACTGCTACCAACATGATTTAAACTACCATTATTTCTTATCTGAATTGCTCTAACAGCCTCCTAACTGTTCTCTCTGCTTCTACCCATACATCCCTTCAGTTTAACCTTAAAAGCAGCCAAAATGATAAAACTTAAATAAGAACATGTCACTTCTCTACTCAAAAAACTCTGTAGTGGCTTTCCAAGTCATTCCAAATAAAAGGCAAAATTCTTAAAAATTCTTTAAAAGGCTCTACAATCTGCTTGCCCACCCCAACTCCCAGCTCCTCCTTCTACCAACCCACTCTATCTGTTCCAGCCATACCAGTTTCCTTGTTTTTCCTCAAAGACATCATGTATGTGCCTGCTTCATACATTTGTTTCTTCTGCCTAAAGTATTCTTTTCCCAGATAAACAAATGGGCCAATCTCTCATGTACTTGATGTGTATTAAATTGTCTGCTTCTTAAAAGAGGTCTTCCCTGGGTACCCTTATTTATAATTGTAATCTTCTGCCCCTGACTGCCTATCTCCCTTTCCTATTTTATTGTGCTTCCTGGCACTTATAACCATGTAAGATTGTACATATTTCTCTTATTTATCATGTTTATTATCTGCCTCTTCCCACTAGAACATAAGCTCCATGAGGGCTTGGATTTCTGTTGTATTCACTGCTATATTTACTTACAGACTTAGAGATGAATGAGGTTTTCTCCACCCAGAATGTCCTTTGAATTCAACAAAATTCAGTTGTCCTCTAACTCCTATTGCACTTGGTTGTAACAGAAATCTTACTTTCTAAAAGACTCAACTTAAAAAAAAAGTATTAGTTCTATTTTAAATTTAATATGTAGGCATAACAGAAAATCTGAAACGAAAAACAGAGAAAGAAAAAACTACCTAGAATATAACATCAAAGACATTTGATTGTTAATTGTGACATTTATGGAAATAAATCTCACTTGACCACATCTTATTTATCTTACCCTATAAATGTCAAATACCTAAATGGTCCTATACCTAATATGGCTTGTTTTCTCCCATAATACCTCAGCATAATACTCATCATTACTCAGGCTGAGGAAGTTTGCTTTTATTCATACTGTACTGAGTTTTGTATTTGCTTTTTATTTCATTAAATCATGAATTGGTGTTGAACATAGTCAAATGATTTTTCATCTAATAAGATGATCCTATGATGAATTACACTGATTGATACTTAAATATTAAACCAATTTTGCATTCTTGGGATAAATCCTATTTGGTCATGATACATTATTATACTTTTAAAATATTGCTGGATTTAATAGCCTAATTTTTTGTTGAGGATTTTATATTTTTGTTCATGAGGGATACCAGATCTCTATTTTCTTTTCAAACAATGACATTGTCTGATTTTGGTATTATGGTTTGATGGCTTCATAAAATGAACTGTTAAGTGCTCTCTCTTCCTCTTTTTTTCTGAGCTTATGTAAGATGGTATTATTTTTCCCTCATTTTTATTTTATTTTCTTATGTCCTTTTCTGATTTTGATGGCCTTATAAATGAAGCTGTATTTTCTGTTCCTCTGTTTTCTGAAAGAGTTTGTGTAAGATGGTTATCAATTCTTCCTTAAATCTTTAGTACATTTTACCACTGAAGTCACTTAGTCATAGGTTTTTCTTAATGATAAGATTTTTAAATATAAGTTCAAAAAATTTTAAATGGGGGAGGAGGGAGGGAGAAGGTTAGGGAATTGATAGGTCGGGCAAATGGCACAAAGAAATATCACGATTTGTAAGAATGAATATACTAATAATAAATTTTAAAAATTTAAAATAAATAAATAAATAATTTAAAATTTAAAAAAAGATTTTAAACAGATACAGGGCTATTCAGATTTTCTGTTTCTTCTTGTGTTTTATAATTTGTGTTTCAGGAATTTGTGCATTTCACCTGAGTTGTCAAATTTATTGGCATTAAGTTGTTCATAATATTCTTTTATCATCTTTTTCATATCCATAGGCTCTCTAGTGAAGTCCCCTCCTTCATTCCTGATATTGCTGATTTGTGTTTTCCCTCCTTTTTTTCTTAATCAGTCTAGCTAAAATTTATCAACTTTTATAGATCTTTTCAAAGAATCAGCCACTGATATAAGTTATTTTCTCTGCTGCTTGTGTTTCCTAGTCCACTGATTTCCATTCTCAACTTTATTGTTTCTTTACTTCCACTTAGTTTACTGTGTTCTTTCTCTAGCTTCTTAAGTTGGAAGCTTATATCATTGATTTTAAACCTAGTTCTTTTCTAAAATAAGCATGTAGACTATATTTCTTCTAATCACTACTTTAATCTTACAAATTCTAACATTGTATTTTCATTTTAATTCAGTTCAAAATATTTTCAAATTTCACCTGTGATTTTCTTTTCAACTTCCGGGGTATCTATAATTAATTTCTAAATATTTGAGGATTTTCCAGATACCTTTTTGTTGATTTCTAATTTAATTCTGCTATGTTCAGAAAATATACTCTATGATTTCAGTCCTTTGAAATTTATTGAGACTTGCTTTGTGGTCCAACATACAGCATACCTTAGTAAATGTTCCATGTGCATTTAAAGAGAACATGTTTCTACAGTTGTTGGGTATAGTGTTCTGTAAACACCGATAAGATTAAGCTGGTTAATAGTGTTCAAATCTTCTATATACTGATTTTCTGTTTATTCATTTAATCAATTACTGAGAGAGGAGTGTTGAAATCTCCATCTCTAATTGTGGATCTACCTACTTCTTTCTTTAGTT